CGCAGGTCACCTTTCACCCCCACAGACCATCAATTTCTGCAGTTTGCAGTCAGAGCGGTGAGACTTTAACACTTTTTAAACAGAAAAAAAGAGGAAAAAATAAAACAATTAATATTCAAATGTGATCAATGTCATAGAAAGGACAATAAAATGAGTGAACAAAATGAGAAAAATATCAAACAGAAATTAAGATGGGAATCTTAAACAAAAGCTCCAGTTCCCAAACGATTTGCAAATTTTACTGGACAATAATTATCGCGATAAACAATAATATTGAGGCTATTTTCAAGTAATATATTGATAACGGCATAATAATGCAAATTCTTCCTCTCAAAAATCAATAAGCCAGCAGAGATCACTTCACACTGAAGCTGGAAGATATTTGAAATATAAAAAATAAAACACAACAGACCAAAATAATAAATAAAAAACAAAAAGAAACACAACCATAACTTTAAATAAAATGGATGATAATGTCTCTAAACTAATTTTGTCCTTCAAAAATATTAAGCATAAGAATGGAAATTATTGATCTTATTTTAATTTATCATGAGATTAACTGATTGCTTATTGCTACAGGATCAGTTGCAGCCAAAGCAGGAGTTAGGTTGTAACTGAGTGGATAATATTTTGTCATGTTTTATTTCTAATTAGTTGCAAATTACTGATGTGTTCTCAGGATTTAACAGATGTGGTGATTCACACAAATGCAGCTTTTCTGTGTCTGGATGTTAAAGACTCTCAGCCGTATTTAAGCTAATCTTAAATATCTACTCAGTTGTTTCTGCCTTTCCTTCCCTAGCATAACAAAAGTTATTTGGAAGTATTTTTAAAACCACTTTAAGGTTTTTAGCTTTATAAACAAACTGTAACAGGTTTTCATAAGGCTGCTCACCCAGGGTGCCTTTCTTTTTGGGGCTTAACAAGCATTTGGGAATTTAAATAAGAGAAACATTGACATATTTCAATGTCCAGTCAATTGAGATTATAAACACTAAAAAAAGATGGCCGCACATCAAGTTTAGTGATAAACTAAAAGCCTTTTTAATAGTTTTCAAAGGAATCTGTAATATTTTAATGTTTGTTACTTAGATAGGTGAAACCTGACCTGGATAATTTTACACTTAAAGGAAATTCAGTATTGTGACAACACAGAAATGCCACTTTTGATACGTATTTTGGCTCAAGGTCTAAAATAAATTGGCGAAAAGGGGGAGGTTATAATATATAGACGGGCTAAATTTCACCATAAATTCTCTACATTGATGTTTTGATTATGTCTACGTGAAAATGTTAAAATGTTGAATTTTAGTTAAAATAAACTTTTCTTCATTCTGCACTCTTCTCAATCAGCCTAATACTAGTAATACATCTAATAATAATAGTAATAATTTAATACATCTAATTATCTATTACTATAATATGCAGGCAGGATTCATGCTGAGGCTGATTCCTCTTACGTTTCGAATCAGATTTGCGGTTATTTAGCAAAACCAGAGGAGAAAGAGTCTTTTTATTTTTCAGATTGTTGCTAAAACATGGAGTTTAAGGAGTTGGGCATACAAACCTTCATCCCCTCCCCTCGTACTGGATGCAGTTTAATTAAAGTAGAAGCTGGGATTAGCTGTGTCTGCACATATGTGGACATATAGGTAATGAAATGGGACGCTCTCTTTATTGGATGAGATTATGTGTGGACCATGATTACTCACACATTTCAGCAGACAGAAAACTATTGCGTATTTTTATGGTTGAGGGAAAGTTGGACTTAAATCTATGTTTTTAAACCTGCAGTCTGAAGGTTTTACCTCAGTGTGGGCTTCCTGTTTTACATCCCCTTCATCCACTCCTGACCAGTCACCGTTCTCCTCATCCTCCTCCAACACCGGCATCAAAGCCGAGCCAGGCTGCCAACTTCTCCTGTCTGCTGCAGCCTGTAAACACCAACAAATAAAAAACTGGATTTGTTTGCATATCTCAGCCATGATAAGTTGGATTTCCTGTTTTCTTCTCACCCTAACAACCAGAGATGTGGGAGTCCAGTCCTGAGTTGAGGAGGATCCACTTTGAGCGACTGATTGTGTATCAGCTAATCTTCCTGCCTCCTTTCCTTCTCGCTCCTTAAACAACCTCTTTAACTACAATCAACAAGATGCAGGAATTTAAATTCATTATGTATTCATAAATATATGACTTATTTGACATATAAAGCATCTTGATCTGGTGGCATTCCCTAAAAATCTAAATATATGATTGATCAATTAAAAATTGGCAGCTCATTTACTTTTAGGTGGCCAGATCCAGGTTGTGTGAACCATGAAAACCAAATTTTGTTTACAGGAAATATTAGCATTAAGTTGATCCAGTGGTGGTACCTTTGTATTGCATAAAAAAATCCAGAAAGGTTTTTGACTAGATTGTGAATTAAAAGTGTTGCTACTTGCCCCACCCGTTACCTAGCAACCGAGTGGAATGCCGCCTGTTACCTAGCAACCCAAAGTGTAAACGTTGAGTTAGGGGGCAAGGCCAGCAGCAGCTTATTTAGATTTAAAGTGACAGCAGACCCTAAAACACCTCAAAGTGGGCAGAACTGACCAGACTAAAACGTCAATGTCTAAGAATGATTTTGTTCAAAAGATGTGATGAACATGTTTTGTATCGCCCATTGAACTATTCTAATCTGTTCAGTGAAGCATATTAGGTCACCCTTATTTTAAATCCATCACTAGGAAAATGTTTCTTATGTCCAAATTGGACAAACAGAAATTAAAATCGTCTCGGTCTACCTGCTCAGTGACCTTTCGTCTCTGCTGCTCCACCTCTTGGTCAACAATGCAGATGGTTTTATTCTTCTTGTCTTCAATCCATAAAGTCTCATTTTTACCCTGCAGAAAAGATACTTGTCATTGACATATATTTTAGTATATAAAATATTTTGCGCACTGGAAGAGAAGGGTATGTTCTTGTAGACATTCCAGCCTTGTTAAGATTAGGGATATCTGTACATGATAAACTGGTTTGAGCAACAAATCCCTAATCTATGGATCCAGGATTCTGGTTGGGTTGTGGCAGTGTGTGGAGTGTTCTGTACAAAATTAAAGTTTATTAGTCTTATTATTATGCCATAATTATTATGTTAGTTGAAAATAGTATCAAAATGACAATGTTTTTGTTTCTGGGACAATTTATCATCCAGCAAAATTTCTTATTGTGACAGGCCTTTAGAAAATCTGCAGAGCAGGGTGTTATTTTGTTTGTCAAAGAAAAAACCGTAATAATCAGTAAATTATTCACCCCACTGTGGGAAACCTTCTGCCTCTGGTTGGTATGTTTGTGGAGGGCTGGAGGATTCAGCTGCTGCGTCTCATCCGACTTTTCCCTCCACTCTGAAATCACACACAAGGTTTTAGCTTTAAATCCCTGCTGGGGAAATCCCTCAATTTTACTATTATTATTATTCTTTACTTGCACCTTCTTTTAAAAGCAAAAGCTCCTACCGTCTTGCTGCTCGTGCATTGAGGCAGGGTTTGACATATCCGCCTGAACTCCTCCACAGTTTTGACAAACTTCAGACGCCTTTTTCATGAGCTTTCACAACAAAGTGGAGAAAGAAAAGAGACAGTCCAACCTTTTAGCCTGAAGTCAATTCCCTGTGGTTTAAACCGGGAGAAGGTTTTTGTACCTTGAGTTCAAGAGCAGAAATCCTAATTTGAGCCTCAGCTCGTTCCATCTCTCTCAGCCGTTCCATAGTCCTCAAATCATGCTCTCTAACACAGAAAAAAAAAAAAGAAAACATCATTTTAAGAACATTTTTTGACTGTTTTTCTGACACTAGTCCTCACCTCTCACTCACTTCCCTTTCTGTTTCTGAAAGTTTTTGCTTCAGCCTCTGAACCTCGCCGCTTTGCGTCCACAGCTGAGGATCATGTATGCTCAGGTTAACATTTACGGTAAATTTCTTAACACTTTAACATTAAATGTGTGTTTGTGTTACCTGGGGAGATTTATTTCTGCTGCATGTGGAGTCTAGTGTTAAAGAGGATTCTGAAAGGCTGAAAAACAATGAAAGGTCAAATCACAGAGGTTATATTCTGAGTATTTTTCCAACCCTGCTTTCTGTGGAAATCTGATTAAAATTCTCTCACTCCGTCTGTGTGTCTTTGTGAAGAGTCTGCACCAAATCACTACCTGCAAACAGAAGCTCAGTGAGCTTTACTGCCCCCTTGTGTTCAAAGAATACAAACCTTGATTTGTTTTGTTGTTAAAGTTAATGAAGATGGTTAATTGCAGCCTCATTGAGAATATTTACTCTTATTATAAAACAACAAAATGCATCTTTACCTGTTTCCTGTTCAGACCTCAGCAAAGACTCAGATTCTCTCTGGAAGATTAAAAGGAGATAACCTCATTATTTTTAACAATCGTAGGCCTACTTCTAAACTTTTTGTTCTGGTCTGATCAGTGAAAATTTTCAAAAAGAAATTGGGGAACCAACTCTGTTCTGTTCCCATTTCAGTAAGACTTTCACAGAAATCCTGTTACTATTCCTGCTGCAGTAACACAAGTTACACAGTTAAACACCTTTTTATTGATTTTTTAAAAGGGGATTATGATGCAAAATTCACTTTTCCCATTTGGGTTTCACTTGCTTCTGAAAACAGCCCAAGTGTTTAAAAAATCCACCCAGATGTTTTTTGGCGTGTCTGGAAAATTAGCTAGCAGATAAAAAAACAAAACAAAACAAAACAAAAAAAAAACACCGGATTATTGAGTTACGCTGCGTCGTTACCTAACAACCCCAGTCCAGCCTGTCACCTAGCAACCAGAGCAGTACTCCAGCACATTTGGTCAGCGGGTTTTACTGCTGTTTGCACTGCAAGAACACAAAATCTTACCAAGTATTTTGGATTGTTTCTATTGCAAATCTTAGAAAACTTGAAATAAGAAGCTAACTTTTTGGGAAGATGTAGAATCTTGTTTTAAGTAAATAATTTCTTAATATTGATGATGCACAGTGGCGCAGTTGGTAGAGCTGTTGCCTTGCAGCAAGAAGGTTCTGGGTTCAATTCCCGGCCCCTGTCTTTCTGCATGGAGTTTGCATGTTCTCCCTGTGCATGGTGGGTTTTCTCTGGGTACTCCGGTTTCCTCCCACAGTCCAAAAACATGACTATCAGGTTAATTGGCCTCTCCAAATTGCCCCTAGGTGTGAGTGTGTGTGTGCATGGTTGTGTGTCTCTGTGTTGCCCTGCGACAGACTGGCAACCTGTCCAGGGTGACCCCGCCTCTTGCCCAGAACGATAGCTGGAGAGGCACCAGCAAGCCTCCTGACCCCACTGAGGGATAAGGGTGTAAAGAAAATGGATGGATATTGATGAAAAAGTACGACTTCCGTTGGCAGATAAGTTAACTTGTAACAAGGGAAAAATGTCTTGTTACAAGTGAAATAATCTGCTGATGGAACAAGCACTTGTTTGTCAATATTAAGGAATTATTTACTTAAAACAAGATTCTATGTCTCGCTGAAAAGTTACTTTTAACATAAGATGTCTGCACTAGACACTGGACCAAAAATACTTGATAAGATTTTATGTTTTTGCAGTGTGTGCTGTTTTGTTGTTGAATTGCCATCCAGAAACCAATTGTTGCATTATTGTTGGTTGTGCTGGAGGCTCGACTAATGCTTTTCAAAAATATACAGTTGCATAATTCTGCATCTGTTTGCAGCCGTTTTCTCACTATTGACTGGATACTGCATGTAATATATTTTCTGTTTTGTGACCTGATAATTAAGCTCAAGTTCTCCATGAAAATATTTCTAGTGCAGAATGTGAAGACATACGACATTTAGTTAGGAAACCTGAAGTTTACGTTCACATCTGAGCAACTTGAAATAGTAAATGTCTTGAAACCATAAATTAAACATATCAAAGCACATGAAAGAGTTGTAAATGTGTTGCTTCCTTACTGTATCAATGGTGCAGTTTCTCTTGAGTTCTTCTAACTCGTCTTGTGTGGACTGAAGGTTCAAAGCAACATTTTGCCATTTTTCTGTCCAGTATGAGGCCAGATCTTCTAGTTCTTTGATGCACAGGAGTCTCATTTCATCCTTTTTTTGATACGTTTTCTCATGCATTTGCAGCATTTTTTCCTTCTCTTTGAGCTTTCCTTCCAAACAGACACACTGATTCTGCAGTTTCTGATTTTCCAGGTCCAAATCGTCTGGAGATGTCCTGTGAAATATATATTTTGGTTATAACTGTGTTAACTTGCAGAGTTAATATTGAACCTTCAGATACCGTTGAGTTCACCTGTTTACCATCTCACCTGCGCTGGTTGATGTTTCCCGTTGATCCGTTTAATGCATCATGTCCTCCTGAGTTTCTTTCAGTCAGGAGATTCTCCTTTTCTCTGATCCGATCTGTGATCTGTCTTAAGTTTATGTTTCTCTCCTCGTTTAGCTCCTGCAGCTGACGTTGTGACTCAGCCAGATGTTTCTTCATCACTTCCAGTTCTTGTCTCAATTGTTTATTTACCTGCTCCAAAGACACAACACACATAGTTTAGTTAAGAACTCAAATAAATTAACAAAACAACTAAAATCTCTCTGGGAACCTCTAAGTTCTCCTTCTTTGGATTAGAGACGATGTTGTGCATCTCAGAGCCGTGTGGTTCTGTTGTGGTTCTGTTAAGCTGCTGCTCTGGGTTTTCTTTATCCTATATAAGAACAAAAGTTAAAGATGATGGTTAGAAATGATGCACAAGGCATTTAAATACATATGAACGACACACCTTTAAGATTTCTAGTTGTGGAGAAAAGATATACAGCTCCAGGAAAAAAAATAAGTGTTCTCTATGCTGTCAATCATGCTCTAGTATGCACAGCTAAATGTGCTAATGGTGGAGAAACAGGAAAACTGTTTATCCCCTGTCATTGGTGGCTATGCTAACTAGCGTTAGCATTTGAGGCTGGCTATGTTGTAGTAAACAAGAGGTGATCTATTTTTTTCATTGATTATCTGTCTTGTATGCTTTTATGTAAAAAACATATATTTTAAATAAATGTTACCAACTGCAGGCTTGAGCATGTACATTTCAGATTCAGGCTGTTCATTCTCACAGAGAAATTGTATAAAATAGCAACTTAACCTGAAAAGAGATTTTGCTGTTTTCTTCTCTAAGATGGCTTTGCACCTCAGAGCAACCCGGTTTGACGTCACTGACTCTCTTTTCCATCTCCTCCATTTGATTAATCACCATCTTCTGTGTCTGCATTGTCAACAAGAATAAATGACAAATAAAAAAATCTGGAATCAGATAAAAACTGATAGTAACAATGATATTCTATAGCAGAGGCAACAAATTCAATTTCTTTCTGGGCCAAATCAAGATCATCAATGCGCTTGAAGGGCCGGTTGTGCCAGAAAATATTGATAAAACCTGTTCACAAACTGTTAAAATGTCAATGAATTCTTAAAATTAAGTAATATTACTGAACAACTTTTCAGTCCCTCCAGGATTTTGTGGTACTTTTTGTGATCTTTGCAATAAAAATCAAAGTGTTTCTGGCACTAATTTGGAAATATTTTAGCTTATTTATGACTGCAAATGTGACTTTTTATTATTTGCTGTATAGATCATGGACTATATTCTGACATCACTAAAGACTGAGGCAGCTGTTTAGCACAAGAAACACAGTTTTTGACATTTTTCGAGAGAAACCTGCAATAAACTCCCAATTATTAGCACAAAAAAGTGCGGGGATTTGTTGATTTCGTGTGAATTTCCACAATAATTCTCAAGAAACTGGAGAGACTGATCGATATAATTCAGCAGTAAACAGATAAAAACTGCATTGATTTGATTGAAAACATAATATTTAAGCACACTTAGTGTTTAGTCTAGAACATAAGGGCCACATAAAAAGCTATGGCGGGCCGGATTTGGCCCACGCGCCTTTAGTTTGACACATGTGCTCTATATGATTGTTTTCAGGCTGTATTTGTTTGACACCTCAGCAGAAGTCTGGAGATCCTGGAGTGCTTTGTTTCGTTCTTCTTGGAGAGTTGCAACTCTCGCCTCAGCTTCTCTCAGAGCCTCCCTCAGCTTGTCCACCTCTGTCAGTTCCTTCTTCTCCTGTATTCAAACCAGAACTTACATGCAGTAAAAAGCAGAAACAGACATTTTCAACATATGAAGGTCAGACACCTGTTTCTTTATGTCCACTGGAGTCTTTGGTTTGCTGTGTGAAGCTGCCAGACGAGACGTCAGCTGATCCTCGCTTACATTCACCAGAGAAGACCTCAGGTGCAGCAACTCATTTTCCAGCTTCCGGACTCTTAAAAAGATTTTTTTTTATTAATTCTCATCAAAGCTGCAGTATATAACTTTTATTTAAAAAAAAAATGTTTTTTACATTTTGTTAAAACTCTCACTGTGTTCTGATATGTTTCCTACTCTTTGCATTTCTACACAAATAAACGAAAACAACCAATCAGAGCCAGCAGGAGGGCTTTAGTTCTGTCAATCATGCTCATGTAAACGCTGCTCAGACCCTCTCTGCTATGCTGCATCGCCATCCAGATAATGGAGTCTGTCATGAATGTTCAGGTTAGCTAGCATGCCCACCTAATAAAGAGTTTTCCTGGAATGGTAACTTGTTTTTCCACCAGGGTTGATTGACAGCGCTAAGACCCGCCTCCTGGCTCTGATTGGTTGTTCTGGACCAGAAGCAGTGCAAACATTAATAGTAGCTCAGGGAGGACATTTATTTTTTTTACAGATTGTCAGAATTTTTTACAGAATATGTAAAAACCAGATTTTTGTAGAAGTTTAATTTTTATTTACTTTTCTTGGAGATCTCGGCACTGTTGACTTCGCTCAAACAATTCATCCTGACTGAAAGCATCCATCGTTTTAGACAGCAGCTGTGTGACACAGGAGTACATGTTAATATTTACTAAATCATGCAAGTAAAAAGAAATAATTAAAATTTATTAACTTGTATTTGACCTTCTGTTCCAGGTTGAGCATCTGAGCCATCGTTTTGTTGTGGCCCAGAGTAACTTCTCTGGTCCCGAGCCGGTCCAGCTTAGTGTTCAGCCGCTCATGAGCATCATGGAGCCACGGAAAAACTTCTGCTTGTCTGAAGCTCCTTTCTCCTCGACCAGTCCACATTTCTGCTCCAAATGATGAGAGGGACCTTGTAGGACTCTCAGGCTCCAGATGGTACATCGACCGCCACCTCCTTAGACCCGGATCGCAACGTCTGAAGGCACCAGCACTGCAACATGAGCAGAAACACAAAACTCATCCAAAGTTACCCAACTTACTTAAGAATCACCGCTGTACTGCAAAAACACAAAATCTTACCAAGTATTTTGGTCTAGTTTCTAGTGCAAATATCTTACTACAAATGAAATGAGACTAAACTAACTTACATGAGACTTTTAGCAAGATGTAGGAGCTTCTTTTAAGTCAGTAATGCCTTAATATTGATGAAAAAACACTAGTTCCATTGGTAAATTATTTCTCTTATGAGAAAAATGACATGATACAAGTGAAATAATCTTTTCGTGAAGGTTTCATTGTTAGACTGTAAAAAAATAACCAGGTGTGCATGAGGAGGCTGCAGTTATCACTTTAAGACCATAAGAACGGCCCAGTTACCTGGAGCTGGCTCTTGACGCAAACCCTGACCCACAACACGAGGAAGACTAAAAAGAAAAAAGAACACTTTTTGTTTTTATATTTCTTTTCTTTTCTTTGTGAAATGAAGAACATTTACATTTAGGTCTTACCTGGGCTGTAAAGTCAGATCTGGAGTTCCACATGTCCATGAGTAAAAAGTAAACTAGTGTTGAAATATGGACGAAACGTCCTGCAGCGTCCTCCGAGGTTTAAGTTGTCAGTCCGAAATGGCTCAGCGGTCTGCCTAGAGGACAAACTTTCACACAAAGCTGTTATCTGGAGGTGGGCATCTATTACTGGACCATGTCTGCTGATATTTCCACTGTTTACGTGACAGGAAACACATCGTCACGGCTACTGGACTCATCCACAAACCCTTCTGTCATGACACGTTTTTAATCATACATATTATTACATATGTCATCCAAAAAGCTGATTTCTGAAAAATTTAGCAGTCCTATCTAAAAGAACAATTTCTCTAATGTAGGGTTGTCTAAAGTGCGGCTCTGGGGCCATTTGTGGCCTTGGGCTAATTTTTTGAGGCCCACAACTGCAATTCAAAAGTAACACAAATTTGCACCATCAAGCACAAGTGGTTGATGCAGATAGAGTTTTTATTTATAATCAGAGTAAAATTATTACTGATATAATTTTCTTACAATGGAAACTGTTAATTAGAACATAAATGTGTCTTTTTGTGACCAAGCTTTTACAATAAGTAGAATCATGTTTATTCTGACTTTCATTTCGCTCCACACAAATCAGCTATTTTTTATTATTTTTATTTTTTATTAAACTTAGCCAATATATGACAATCTTTTTTGAAAGAAAGTGACCCAAATCTTACTCTTATTGCTGAAAATAAATTTGTTTAATCGAGTGCAAAAGAAACTGAAAAGTAGATGCTTTTCTTCTAATATAGCAAACATGCAACATCTCTTCTAAGGTTTGGATCTACAATGAATAACATCCATTTTGGATAAAATAAAATTGGATTACTTTATTTGCTTTATTTTATTTTTTTCTTTTTGGCCCTTTTTGTGAACACAAAATGTTTGGACACCCTGCTCTAATGGGATCTTACTTCAGAAATCCTCTCTTGTTCACTATCAGAGCCAACCTGCTTCATTTGTTTTCCTTGCATAGCTCTGAGATTGTCTGTAAAGCAGGGAGTATCCATGATGACCTCAGTTCATAAAAAGCAGCTGGATGACAGAGTGATGCTCCCCACTCCCTAGATATTCTCCTCATGATCTCATTTAACCTCAGTCAGATGTTTACTGACATTTCTAAAACACCAACCTCAGCTTTCTTATTATTAAATATTCTCTACAGTAAATTTGGCACAACAAGAAGGAAAACTGTCTCTGGCTCTTTTGTTTTTTTAAGGCTTTATTCTTTAATGTTAAGGTTTGTGATAAATTGTTTCTAAGGATGCAGATTTTCTTCAGCTTAGTGTGAAATGTTGCATCCTGGTGACTAAATCCAAAGTTGTTTCTTGGATAAGTAAGTGAGGCCAGAATACAGAAGTACTGCTCTTTTATTAGAACATATGATACATTGAGCCAATTTGTATTTGACAAATACTTTATAAAATAACATATAAAAAATCCCACAAACAAGCCAATAAAAACAACAACAACAAACAAACAAACAAGCAGACCATTCTCTCCGACATAAGGTCTTAATCAGTAAATTAGGGAATGCATTTGAGGCTTGAGTCAGATTGAAAGTATTTTTATGGGGAAAATAACAATCGTCTTTACACAAAATTTAAACATTATTTTATTTAAACCCACAATTATGTATAAAAAAGTTTTTATTGGTCTGTTCTTATTGGTCATAATTCGTCTATGTAATGTGTTTCCCCTTAATAAACCGAATTTCAGTCGAAATCTGAACGTATATCCAGTGGGAAGTTTCTTATATTTGAAAATTTATATTCTCAGAATATTCCTATTCTATCTGACCGACTGTAAGTTATTTTGAAAGAGAAATTGGCAAAATTTAGAAAACTCCTCCAAACAATTAACATTAACCTTTAATGCAGCATTCTTTGATAACTGAATGTTCAGTTTAAGGTCAAAAGAGTTAAATATAATTCGTCAACAGAGCTTAATCTATTGTACTGTAATCAGGAAACCAAATCGAAATGTAAATAAACCGGCCTTGATAATCTATGTATAATCAGTTTAGTTAATCATTGCTCGAACACATCCATAGATCAACGTACATATTATAGAATAAAGAAATGAATAGACAAAATAACCTGCTTTAAGTGATTTTGTTGTCATGGGAAAAAGAGTTCTCACGTGTTTTATTTTGAAAAGTGAGGTTTCCCGGAAACAGGAAGCTAGTGTCAGTAGCCGTTTAAAAGCTAAGAGGCTAATATCTAAGAGCTATCTTCTTAGCCGTTGTTTGAAAATTGCATTTCCTTGAGCTGTCCAAAGGAGTCCGCGTCGATTTAACGTTGAAAAAGTATAAAACTTTGTCTTTATTTAAAGCGTTTTACAACTGAAATGAGTTTGAGATAGCAACTTAGCTTGATACAAGGCCGAAGCTATTGCTAAGTACATTTTGAAACGTTAGCTCCAAACTGTGAATATTTCGCTGTACTGCCTGAATGTTAACTTGTTCGGACTTATGAGTCGGTGATCATTGGTGTGACTTTTTTAGCGGTTCGTGTTAATTTAAAATGTAATATTTATTGCAGATAATGGCCTCGGACTGGTTGGGTAGTTTGGTGTCTCTTAACTGTGGACCAACGCTGGGAGTTTATCAAGGAGAAGTGTCATCTGTGGACCAGTCCAGCCAGACCATCTCCTTACGACAACCTTTCCACAATGGGGTCAAATGTCCCGTTCCTGAGGTCACATTCAGGTAAATCTCGACTTAGATGTCTTTTTCCCACAGCTTGGGTCTGTTTTATGGGTCTTGCTTCGTTAAAAACTAATACTGGGAAACGCTATTTAAATAGAAGTGGTGTTTTGAACCAAATTGTTGTTTTGCTGCAAACTTGTTTTTATATTTAAGCACTTCCTCTCGTGGTCTGGCATTTTTATTTTAAATGATGTGCTACAAACTCAAAAATTTGGATTCCAGAAGTGAGCAGGCCTCTCACGACAATAAACTTTGCTGGACGGTAAATTACCTCGGGTATTATTGCGATAAACGATAACTCTGTTTTGAGACCATGTTCCAATAATAAATTGATAATTGCCCCCTCAAGTTAAAGTTTTATTTTGTTATGAACTCTACATTGGAACTGGAAGACATTTTAAATGTACAAAAGAAAACACAACAATCAAAAACAACAAATGATAAGGAAATAAAAACCACAAACAACTGAAACCATAAATGAAATGGATTATAAAGTCTCTAAACAAAATTAGCCTTCAAAGATATTAATCATCAGAATGGAAATGATCAAGTTCACTTTAATTTATCATGCAGTTAATTGCGACAATCTTAGAAGTGGAAAAACAACCCTATTGGGTTTCTATAAGTGGTAAAATCTGATCCATTTTGGTTGTTACTGAAGATCTCTCTTGTTTTTTTTTTTTTTGTTTTTTTTTTTTGTTTTTTTTTCCAGTGCCATTGATATACAGGAACTAAAGATTTTGGACATCAGAAGCTTTAATGCCAGGCCAGCTTCCAGTGCGGCTGCAAAGGGAAGCACTGTCCCAGTTGCCGTTCCAAAGGGGGATCCCAGATCTGTGGAGAAGCTGAACTCTCCACAGCAGTGCTCTAAAAGTTATGGAGAACGTCACCTGGACGCAATGGGTCAACCTAAAGGTTTCCGTCGAAGGCATAACTCCTGTAGGTGTGATTCATTTGGCTGCAGGTAAAACTTTCCTATGAATATTGAGATGCTAATAGCTGCTTTCCCCCCCGCCCCCGATACTGTCAGGGTCGTCCACCAGTCGAGGGGCAAACCAAGCGACGCCAAAAAAGAACGGAGTGAAAAACGGGCAGATGAAAAACAGAGACGACGAGTGCTTCGGCGATGGCATGGATGACGGGCTGGATACGGATTTTGACTTTGAAGGAAACCTGGCACTGTTCGACAAAGCTGCAGTTTTCTCAGAGATTGACACGACGGAGCGACGTAACGGCGCGAGGTCACGTGGCACGCCTCAGGATCAGACGCCCACACGGTACCGCCACGACGAGAATATCCTGGAGGGCAAACCGATTGTTTATAGACAGATTACTGTACCACAGTCTGGGCACAAAGAGTACTGCACTGGTACGTGTTTCACATTGCAGCGACTGAATTACAGTGTCCAGCAGAGTCGTTTAAACCTGCTTCTTTTCTTTACGTCATACAGACTCTGGACTCGTTGTTCCAAGTATTTCCTATGAGCTCCACAAGCGTCTGTTGTCTGCTGCCGAGCGCTACGGCCTGACCCTGGAGCGGAGACTGGAGATGACTGGAGTGTGTGCCAGCCAGATGACACTCACGTTGTTAGGAGGGCCCAACAGGTACGAATATTGAATTAGACGAAGCAGTTACAAGTTCAACCTCAATTCTGAGTTACAAAGAATTAAACTGAAGGTATGTGGGGAAAAAACATGTTTTGAGTTAGTCAGTTTTTTTTGGTGTTTTGTTGAACAACCACATTTTTTCCCTTTTCATGTTCTTACAGTCTTGGGAAAAATCTGAACTTTGCTCTTAGCATTTTTTTAGTTCTGGATAAAATTAAAAAAAAAAATGTTTATCACACAAAAGTTTAAGTTTTGAAATTTCATTCTTTATTCTCATATACACAATATCTAAAATATGGATTCCTAAACAACAAAGCAGTTAATCTCTCACATCTCAAGTTGATTCTTTCGTAAAACTTTGATTTAATACTTGAGAGAAATGATAAAGGTGAATGTATCAAAAAATAAAAAAAGAGGAGTTTCAGTGCTTTCTTTTGATTTAAATCTTCCAAGTCTTTGAGTGTTTGTGGTTTTAAAAACTTTAGGCATCAAACAAAGCACCAAAACTCTTTAACTTTTCCAAACA